TTTTTTTTTGTAGTTTTCCTATATCCGAACAATGAATTTTTCATCAAGTTTAAAAGTATCCTTTTCTCAATATTTCATCTCTGTGGTTTATGTAAATAAAATCATCTCGAGAATTTAAAATTTATGTTTGCTGTATGCAAATACTTACATAGTTTTATATCTGTTGAGTTTTAAAAAAAATTGATTTTGTTATGATAAAGACGATGAAATCCATTGATAAACTGAGAATTTAAGAACGTCTTTTTTATAGAAATTCTATCGAAGGGAAAACAACGGACGTTTGATCTCATGTTGGACACATCTGCAGATCTCAATGAGACTAGCAAAAGTCTAAACAGCTTCATTTAAAAATTCGATAACTTGATGAAGGAATATTTCTTCCCGCTGAAACTTTCAGGATATTCTAAGAGTGATTAGATCTATCTATAAGTATAAAGTTTTGAATAAAAAAATCTAGTAAATAGATCATAACCTGATGCAGAAGGTCAATGTCGACGAAAACCCTTTTAGACTTTCGCTATTCCTATTGAGACCTGCCTGTAGATTCAATATGAGCTCAAATAAGAGGTATTACTTGGAACAGTTCTCTCATTAGATTTCTTATTATTTAAGTATAATTTTCTCTTAAGATAAAACCGAACCAATACCTGAATCAATTAATGAAGAAGATGAAGATGATAATAATGTACATATTCTCAATGATCATGGACATAAGAAACAGGATATTTCAACTCAACGATTACCACATGTCTATTTCGATGATGATCTTAAACCATGTATTGTTGTTGTTGGCGAAGAACATAATGAAGAAAATGGACAAGAAACAAATGAATATGAAGATTGGCATAATATTATTGCCGGTGGTAAACAAGTTTTAGTTTCAAAAAAGAAAAAACAATCATCAAAAATTAATTCTATTGAACATTCAACAATTACAAATCTTCCACTTACAACTAATATTCGTTTAAAACCTCAAGCAACTGAATATAATTCATTAATAATACCAAATAATTGTCGTGGTTTTATTCATAATTCAAAATTATATGAAACATTTCGTTTACGTTTACGTCGTTCATTTCCATCAATAAATATATATTTTCAATCTGATACATATACAATAATTATTGATGGAAATATTAAATTAAATATTCAACAATGTCTTAATTATCTTAATAAACTTAATTCATATAAACATAATATTTTAATATCATATGAAAATTTTCCTCAAACAACAATAACAAATATTATGCGTATGCAACAATCAACAGCACAAATAAAACTTGATAGTAAAGCTAATTATAATCGAATATTTCGTTCAACATATCGTCTTATTGATTATCATTTAAAACAATATTATAATCAACAACAATGTATTTATTGTCGACGATCAAAAAAAAAATTTCAAATAACTTATTTAGAATTTCCATGTGAAAAACAATCAATAGATGAATTAAATAATTTAATAGAACAACGTGTTTTACAATTATTAAATATACGTTTTACATATATTGCTATTGCATTATCAGCTGATTTAATGACAACAAAACGTTGGGCAATATTTTATAAAAATTTAACTAAACATAAAGAATTAAATAAAACTTTATTAATAAGAAAAATTAATACAATTATACAAGTTTATGGTTTACATGCAAATGTACAACAAGTACAAACATTATTAACTAAATTTTTAGATGCTAATCGTTATGAAATTGATGTTATTGAAACTGAACAGGTAAACATATGCATTTACATAGACGATACAATGTTTTGATTCTTCGAGGAGTAGAGTCAACATTTTTGTTGTTATAAGATCTGTACCTGGAAATTAAAAAAAA